AACACTTAATAACAACATTTTATATGTTGTATTTCTCTAGGCTTTGCTTTGTCACCGCAAAATAACATGCATTTATTTTAATAAACTTCTTCCTAATGTGTGTGAGCACGTTTATTACATAAAATACATTATCAAACCTTAATAAAATAGTGCTTTTACATCTTGGAGGCCTGGCACACAGAGATCTTGATTTCTCTGAAAATATTTTAAAAGGTTCTGTGTTAAGAATACAAAAGTACTATAGATAAGACAGTAACGTTCACTATAGTAATAGAATTTGGGAGGAAAGGACAACCATGGGGTGATCTGTTACATTCCAAAGCTTCGGCTGTAATTTTTTTTCACACAAGGAACGCCCTTGCCTCCTTCTCCCCTCTTTTTAATCCTTGGGAGTATTTGGACACTGTACTGAGCTGCTGGTGCTCCCCAGCTGGGGCCGGTGTGCGGGGTGGTGGGATGCTCTGGAACCCAGTGCTGCCACACGGCTGGAGCTGACAGCAAAGCCTGTGAATGAGATGGGGAATCTGTGCAGGATGCCTGAGACGTTTTTATTGGCATTTAAAATGAATTTGCCGGGGGTTGCAGTTTGGATAGTTGAAAGCCAAATACTTACAAAAATCAAAACTACAATCTAACTTTTTTTTTTTTTTTTGGGGGGGGTAGCTGACCCAAATAGTGACCATGAGAAGACAGAGTTTGTGAATTTGGTGCTGCTTTTTTCTGAGTTCACTCGGCATGATGTTTTCTCCCATGATGCATACATGTGCACTTTAATATCGCGGGGAGACTTGTCAATCACTGCAACTACGAGACCACGTTCACCTAATGCGGAAACTGTGGATGAGCACTATTCTAAGGATCATGATGCGAAACTGGAGGTAACACTTTGTGCTGTTTCTCCCATGTTTGCTACTCCGTTTCATTAAATGTAGATTCTCACCAAAGCATTAGTGTTTCAGACATGAGATATTAAGTTTTATAATCTGTGTCTCCTTGTCTCTTTCTCTTTGGGAAGACTGAAAGTGATTCGTTAGCTTCATTCTTGTATATAGCTGTAAATATTGCTGGTTTGCTGCAAATATACTGAACTGAGAGTTCTCTGGTGATCTCAGTAACTCGGGATGAACAAAAAGGCACAGTGTAGACTTCTAAATGTACCAGTGGAAAACCTTATTTGCAGATTTGCTTCAGTGATGAGAAGGGAGAGCTTTAAGGAGGAGGAGTCGGTGGGGTAAGCCCCACATCCTCTGCGTAGCGTGGGGCGTGCTGTCACAGTGCAGGCGTGAGCGGTGCGAGCCTGGTAACCTGCTCGCAGACCATCAGGAGCTTCCTGCGTGCCGCACAGCCACCGGCTCATGGCTGTAAACCAGACCTCATGGCTCGTACGTGCACAGTCCAGCCGTGGTCCCGAGTCTTCCGTCAGATGAGCAGTTCATAACCTTTTCTAAAACTGTTGCAAGAGGAAGGCAATTTTAAATGCAAGACTGCAGACCACATTTGTACTTGTTTGGTGAGATGCAGCCTGTTGTTCTGCTGCACCATCCACGTGGAGCCTGTGGCCAGCTAAAGCATCCTCTTATGCTTCTTTTTAACTTCTTTTCTGTATCTCTGATGTCAGTCTGATGGCCAGATTTACTCTGGAATACAGAGGGTTTCTACAAGTGGAAACAAATCCTGGGAAGGAACAAGAGTCAGCTTCCCGTTCTGTACGTGTCCCTGGAGCAGAACTGCTCACGGGGAAATACTGTAGAGTTTTGTTTGCTCCTTTGGCTCTTGCCCTTTCCAGTGCTTTTGTGGATTTAGGCTTGAGAAATAACGTTTGTGAATTAGGGCTTACCATAAAGATTTAAAAGTCAGTATCTGAAAACTTCCTACCATCAGTACTTTTTCTAATTCTTACGTAGATGGGATGCTTGGGTTTACCTGTGATCAGTGAAATAGATCTTCAATAAAATGCAACTGATGTTTGTTTTTTCTCTCTGGCAATTATTAGGATCATAGTATTATGGAACACATGGGCATTGACTCAGGAGCCGCTAGTATTTTTGATGATGTAGACAAGAGTGACTTTAAGGCAGATTTTGGTTCGGAATTTCCAGTAGGTTTAACTTTTGATCTTCTGCATGCCTTTGATGCCTGCATCTGCTGCTTGCTGCTGCCACTGAATGTTTCTCCATGCCTTAGCACCCTCTTGCTGTTTCCATTGACAGCCGATGGCCTGTGGCATCCAGTCCCTGCTGCCTTCTGTGTCGGCACATCGTCACCTCGCTCTGCATCTCTGCTGTCTGACAACTCTGCTCTTCTGTGCTTCCCCTGGTTGTGCACCTGCACGCACTCGCGCTCCTCTCTCCCTCCTTCCCTTCCTCCCCCTTGCCTCCAGCATATTCAGAGTGCTGTGTGTTACAGTTAAGCATGAACAAATACGCAGATTTACCCACTTCTGTGACATTGAGGAACCCCAAACTGATACTGCTTCCTTTTCAAGTGACTGTTCTGTGTTTTGGCCCTGTCTTCCAAATCTGCTTCCCCTCTGTTTTAGCCTGATTCTGTGTTACTCTTGAATCTCCTAGTTTCTTCCTTTGCACTGGTCCTCGTTCTGCATCCGCATGGACTCCTGTGCCCAGACCTGTCCGTGCAGATCCACTGGCAGGACAGCGGGACCCCTGGTGCTCCCTGACATCTGTCATGTTGGTGTCACCTCCCACTTTACCCTTTTCATTATTTTCCTTCAGTCACTGCAGTGGCCTCGGTTTCTGTGTCACAGCAGCATAAGAAGTATGGAGATTGCTCTGAATCATAATGCTTTTTTTTCCTGACTGAATACCACTAGCTTAAAAGTTGTCTAATAACAATGGAGGTATGCATAGAGATATAATGTGTATATGTGTCTTAAATTTCAGGCTTGATTATGATTGCCCTTGCTTTGCCTATCTTTGAAAAACCTCAGATGTTTAAAAAGTAACTGTAAGCAAGAATGAAATCGTATCTCTGAATGCAATTGCTGAATTTCAAAAGCTAGAGGTTACACTTACCTTAAACATTTGTTTTACATGACTTAGATTTTTTCTCCGATGCCTGGGGAGTCTTGTGAGAACGTGAACTCTTCTTTAGACAGAAGAATTTCAGTTACCAGCGAGAAGTCAGTCAAGAGGGAAAGACTGAGCGAACTGATTTTTCCATCCAACTATGACCTCCTCCGCCATTTGCAGTACGCGACACATTTCCCTATACCTCTGGTGAGTGACCTCTGCGCTGGTGCGCGCGGCGGTTCTGCCTGATGTCATAGCAAAGCTCCTAAAGGAAGAAAAGCCCGGTGTCTGAAGAGAGCTGGGCTGGGTGCCCTCGGCCCGAGGGCTCTCGTGACGCTGTTGCTGCCAGCGTGCGTGCTGTGCGCGGCGGGGGGCTCTAGTGCAGCGCGCGGGCATCTTGTTTCATCGAAGAGGCTCGGCTGGCAGAACGCCCGAGAGGTATAGCACTGCGTGCCGGCTTGCTCGGGTTAAGGAGACGGGCGCCGCAATGAAACCACCACCTTCCAGGGTCCGATAAAAGGTTAGTAAATTGAAAACTCGATATTGTAGAGTGCCAGAGGGATGAGTACCAAGCTATCTAAAGGGATCCTTGTGAAACGTAAGGGACAGAATGGTGTCATTTCCTCCCACCCACTCCTTGCTGTTTCTAGCGTGGATTTTTGGTGGCTGCTGCTGCTGTGTTTGTCTGTAGGCTCATGGGAACTGAAGCAAGCCCCATGAATAGCATTCCTGATCCCAAACCCTCATTCAGATGACTTCTCATGTTTTCTGCTGTGCTGGAAAAAGGGCCTAAATACTGAACAAGTCTGGAATGGGAATGTATCTACTCGAGAATTAGTATTTTTATTTTTCTTTAAACAACAATGATATCTTTTTAAAAAATATTAAATCCTGTCAATACAGGAAGTGTCATGTAAGAGTGTGATGTGATAACCAGCTTGCTTTGCTTTAAATTTCTTACTCCACAAAGTTTTGGTTCTGATTTATTGCAGGTGAATTGTTATGAGAATACTGAAGGAGCTATTTCTGTTCAGGACTATTTTGAATGCTTGCTTAAAGTTTGATTTATGTTTTGCCCATTTTAAGGATTAGAAAAAAGATAACTTGACTTGGTTTTGTTTCTGAAATATTTTCGATTTACAGATGGAGATAATCCAGGCAGCTGGATTTTGCCTATGCAAATTGATTTTTAAATTTTGCTTATTGATTAGTCTACATATGCATTATTTTTGGCAGTAATTGTAAATTAGAATATTAATAATCTTAGTTGCTGTTTTATACATTTTTTATTAAAAAAAAACAAGCAAAGAGAACACACCAGTTATTTATACTTTTTATCTTAATTTTAAAATTTCCTTGCATTTTCTGTAATAACATGTTAGCTTTTTTCATATTCATTGAAGCAGCAGCAAGGAAAAGCAATGGAACTTGGCAAGAGCAAGAAATTTATTTATAAAAACTGCAGGTGTCATGTAAGCAGATACAATTTTTTTTTTTTTAATGAGTGCACCTTAAAATCAGTTTCTGGAGTAAATAATGCCCTCTGAAATGCTTTTGGGTTAATTGTATACATGAAAACTTCACAGCTGAAGAACTGCTATTAAATAATCTCTTCACTTGATTGCACCAAGTCATTTAATATAGTAAGTATACAATATTTAACTTAGAGAAGGTGAGTTTTGGTGTTTACCATAAATAGTTGTAAGGTATGTTCGAGTCCGTCTGAACAGGTTGTATTCCTCAGTGTTGCTGACCCCGGTAGGTCACCGCTCGTGCATTGAGCTGTTTCTCAGAGGCAGGATCGAACATTTTGCTGCAGACCTACTATGTGAACCTCTAACGACGCGATTGGTATTGTTCAGGTATTTTCCTTTTTTTAGCAGGAGTGGTGTTGACTGTGGTGGCCACGCTTGCGACTGCACAACGGCTGCTTGCACAACAGGTTTGCATGCTCTCTGGTGTATTTTAGAATCAGTATTGTTGCATCTGCTGTTCAGCCTCTGTGTCTGTGGAAATCTTTGCCTCTTTGGGTGCTGCAAAAGTCTCAGTAAACTTCAATCTGAATGATTTGGAAAGATGGTAATAGAGAATAGGGTCAAAACAGAGGTTTGATACTGCAAACAGCAAGGTAGATTCTTTAGCTTTAAAGAGAGCTTGTTTCAGAGAGCAGCTGGTTATGGTATCGCTTTGGCTCAAGGTGTAGGGGATACGAACAATGTGGTATGGAACGAAACACAGCAGGTAGCCAGCAGTTACGAGCAGTATGTTGATGAGGGCTTTCTTCGCGTTTGCGTAACTCTCGCTGTATTTGTTTCGGTAGAGTTGTCTAACAACAAGGAAATTGGAAATCAGTATCACAGCTGAAAAATTCAGGAATATTGCTGTGCATATGAAATTAGTAAACACGTGCCAGTCTCTTCCAAATTTTGTTTTGAAATCGATGCATCCTGCACCAGGTCTTTCCTCAATAGTTTTTATTGGAATGGCCATGTTAGGCACTGTTATAAGGAGAACCATTGTCCATACGACTGCAGACAACATCTTGGCAAATCCAGGCTCTTGAATGCGGTAGATCTTATAACTGTGCATTAGCTGAAGGCAACGATCCATGCTTACGAATCCCAAAAATATAATTGATAAATACATGTTCAGGTAGATGAAACAGGCTGTAACTTGACAGTGGAATATTCTCAGCTTCCAGGACGCAACTCCTAGGTCAACAACAATCTTTACTGGCAATGCCAAAGTCAACAAAAAATCTGCTGTTAAGAGGTTAATTAAATAGATGCTCATACACTTCTGTTTCTGATCTCTTTGCGTGAATGCCCATAATGCGAAACAACTTCCAATAAATCCCATAAGAAAAATAAAGTAGTAAAAATAGGTAAAAGGTTCCAGTTCTTTACTGAAATGGCATTGTGAAACATTGCTTGACATTGTAAACTTCTTGTGCAAGGTGGTTTTGCTGCTAGGCGATACCAAGAACCTACAAAAAGAACCAAGACGACAGCAATGACATCAGCTTTTCCTGAACAACAGTAGTTACTCTGAGAATTTTGTTTGATTAATTTCATGGAAAAAATGCAATTAGGAGGAAATACTTTTTTCTCTCCTCATGCTCCTTCAGAGATATTCAAGAGGGCTTTGTAGAAAGTTTGGAAATGTATTAGAATTTGTTCCTGAAAGCATATAGACATATGAGAAACTCTTCCACTAGAGCAGTCTTTCTGAGGGAGTGTTTGGTTCAAACCCTCCTCTTCCAACCAGCCAAAACATGAAAGAAAAAGATTTGAATCTGTTTAAACATCTGGTTAACAACGGTCATATTAAAACTTCATAACTTTTGAACAATTGAAACTATGCCTAGAAAAAGCATAATATTTGCAGTAGTCTCATTCTATAAAAATGTATTAGGAGTTTTGAACTTAATGCGCTGTCAAACCAAGATGTGGATACGTCAGATGAGCAAATAGTTCTAAACCGTTCTAAGTTTTTGCAAACTTCTCTCTCTTCCTACTTGAACAGAGGATAAATTAATCACGTTTTGATGAAGCCTTTAGAAAAAGCAGATTTTGAAGAACCAGCTATTCAGTAATTTTGCTTGCTTCCTTTTTAGGCTTCACTAGAAATTCCAGGGAAGAAAAGCAGAAAATTTCAGTTTTATTGTAACTAAATATTATTAAATATTATTTTAACTACTCCATGACCAAGGGGGTTGTTTTGTTTGTTTGTTTGCTACAGTCAGACTGCTGCATAGAATGTCTGTGGGAAAGGAGGCATGTTCGTGAGAATTTTGTGGAATGAAAACCAATACATTTTTGTCTTGAATAGCATCAGACTGAAACACTTTTTTATTTTGCTATATTGTTCCTAATTTTAATATACAAATAAGAGAACTACTGCATTTGCACATTTATTTTCTGCTGTAAAATATGTATCCGGCTGTAAAACATGTATCCAGCTGTGCATAATTTATAAACCAAAATGATTGCAGACACTCCAATGATGTAAAATGGGGGGAAAAGCAGTTTGTTTCTTGCAGTTGGCTTTCTGCAGGTGGTCGCTGTTGTCTGGTAAGGGACAGGTAAGGGAGCCCAATTAAGCTTGGGTAGGCGCGGCGTGGGCGAGGGGCACGCGGCGCTGAGGGAGCTGCTG